CCATCTTATATGAGGGACAAAACTGTCTTTCTTGTAACTCCAAGTTTATGAATAAAATCCAAGTGGGTCGGCTAGGAGAATGATTTTACACATTCTCTCTTCTAGTCTGGCCGAACATTCTTCTCCTTCTTTCTCTTTTCTTTCTTCTTCCTTCTTCTCTACTTTGACCTAGAATCAACTAGGGTTTATTCACACGTTTAAAAGGTAGATACATCACAACTTCGTTAGTGTTTGGTGATTGTCCCTTTGAAGTGGTCTTTGAGCTCTAGGATGTGAGTGCACTATAACTGGTTACATGGTATTTTATCAGCCTAAAAGTCCACATACTTGAAACAAGAGAGAAAAATAGAGTAGAAAGCTTTTAACAGATTGCTCCCTTGGGGAAATTTTATGCATTTTTTTAGGTAATGGATTGTGTCTGATACTCTGGTTAGTAGGTATTTAATATCATGTAGCTAAATCTTCTTGTGCTTGTTTAGCCACTTTTCAATTGCTTAATCCTTTAGACACCTGCACAAATATTTGTGAATTTGATTATTTTTTGTCTTTTTGCACTCTGTAGTTTATAACTACACTCCAGTTCCTCTCCAGTTGAGGCATGACTAGTCAGTCCTAGGTGCTGACTGAAGGCCATTACCGGATGTTGGTTCCAGTTCTCAGGGATCTTGTAGACTGAGAATATGGTCCTAACCCTTGGCATTTTTTTTTGCACAAAGTAGCTGCTCTATGGCTCAAACCTAGGTGCTGATAGTTGATGATAAAAGATATGCTCTAAATTTAACATATTGATGATGCAGTCTCATGAATGAATTAATATATACTACAACTATGCAAAATAGAATCATTCATCAAAAAAAAAAAAACTATGCAAAAAAGAATGACATTGAACATTTAGTTCAGTCTTTGTTTTGCAAACATAAAAAAGTTAGACCTATCCTAGGATAGGGAATTATAGTTTTTTTTTTCCAAATAAAACTACCTTGATTATTTGATGTCCTGTTTGTTTGTCGCAACTCCATATCAGCAGACCACTAATTGGAAGAAAGAACTCAACTGCTTTCCTTTATTATGCCTTTTCTCTATTTAAATACCGTCAACCAATCATGTTCCGTTATAAATATTTAAAGCAACAGCCAACAGTGCGAATATAAAAAAATACAAACATATTCTATTACTATTTTAAATTATTAGTGATACAAACAAACAAATAAAGTTTTAAAATGGTTTTGTGGTTGACTAGGATGACTAGTTGAGTAGTTGATGCTTAATCATCCCAGGGTACTCCTTCATGATTATCAACAGACTGGTTAGTGATGCAGTCGGTCAGTCTGGCCCTCAACTGACTAGCAGAATGAATAGTTGATGAGCAGTCAATGCTTTGTAGACACTGTTTCTAATTGCTGCATCACATATCAAAAGGATAACTGCTTTTCAATATAGCTTATGTTACTTGGTGACATGTACTTGCTGATTTAGGATGAAGATATCTATACATTTTTCGAGCCAGAACTTCCTGCAGATCCATCAGGTACTGCAAGAGCCAAGGTAACCGATCCAATCAAGACATCCATTGAGAAACGGGCAGCACCAAAACTTTTGGCAAGTAAAAGTGCATCTAAGGCATGTCATGGTAAGACACAGCGTACCTCAGCGGCCTCAGAGAAAAAAACAACCAATCATGTCAGTGGGACAGTGTGGCGGCCATCACAGGATAGTATCCCATGGCATGAGGGTTCAGTACTTGATCTCAAGGGAGAGAATTACTTCTCTTGCACTGTTGGGAGAAAGCGCTCCAATGCAAGATATCTCTTTGGTTCATCAGATGAAATTGTCACATTTCTGAAGGAGTTGGCGGCAGCATCTTCCTCAGGTTAAAATCATCAAGGTTTTGCTTCTTATGGATGAATAGTCTTTGCCCGATTCAACCTGGCACTGGATCCTAGTGTGGTGGTGATAACACAGTGGTTATTCAATTCTTTTGTGAGGCAAATATTGAGTTATCCCATGGCTTTTCTCTGCCTTTTCCTCCATTCTTAATAATTTGACTGTTGCTGTGGGAAAGCTCATTAAATGCTTGTGTTAACAGGATGACATTTGAGTTGCATATCGATTGCTATGAACATTACAAGAGGAAATCAAGAATGGGATAATTCTTCTTTTGCCCTGCCATGCTTTTGCATTGACTGCTCATTTTGCGAAAGGTTTTCATGGGGATTTAAGGTTTTAAACAATTTCAAACAAAATAGTCAAGATTACATAGATTTTAGAACAATGAAAAGAAACTTCAAAAAAATTAAGATTGAAAAAACTGTGCATAGATTGTGCGACTGTCGTGAATGCATTACAGTTAAATGTTTTTTTTTTCTTTTTTTTGTTATTTTGTATGAATGCACAACATTGTAAGTTTCAAGATCCCTTCTCTTCTTTCTAGACAGATAAAAAAATCAATTGTATTAAGGGTCCAATTTTTTTTTTTTTTGAGAAGGGGGAAAGTGTCAATGACTAAGATACCAATGTTCCTTTTTTCAGATTTATGTGGGGTTCATGGAAAATTTATTTTCCTCGAATATCAGGTGGGTAAGTAACTTTCTTTGGGAAAGTTACCCAACACTTAGGCCCCATTCATTTGTAGGTAATGCATGGGAAAGTTGGTAAATGGGTAGCTTTTTCCCATTGACCAATTTTCCTATGCTTTTTTGCATTAAGCAATGGGCCCCACAGTAAAGTTATCGGTAAAACATATCCATCTCCTAGGTGGGTGTAAGTAAACTTTCCTAGTTGGGAGAAATTTTTACAAAACATGATTGGACCATTTTACCCATTTTAATAGTTACTTTTTGTGGGTAGAAATGTCATTTTATTATTTACCTGGGAAACGGGAATCCTAAAAATCAAAAGAACATGGGTAAGTGCACTTACCTTGGTAAATGTTTACTGCATTTACTGAGATAAATTGCACTGATACAAACAAACAAGGCCTTAGATGAGACAAAATTGTCCTTTTCAATAATGACTTTATGGCTAAAATGGCATTTTATTTACCTTGGAAATAAAAGAACATAGATAAATGTACTTATTGGGTAAATATTTTATAAGAAATACTTAGCTGAATAAATATATTTGTCTAGGTAAATAATTTCCTAACAAGCAAACGAGGCCTAATTGTGTCAGATAAATAACAGTTCAAAGTCATAACAAGCCAAACAAGACTGACACCGAAGATCTAGAATTCCTCCATCGAACCTTTTAGCATTTTGAACCAACTCATGGTCCTTCCTATTGCATTTTTTATTAGCATTCTTAAAACATGACAACCCGTGAATTAGAACAAAGATACTGAGTAGGTCCAGAATATGTCAACAGGCCCATGGAAGCACTACTCTTTGGTAACCATATCAACCACAACTACTACTGGAATCTCTGCTAGCCATCCGTAAATGATTTGCTCTAGTGCTTGTGTATACCATTGCTACTGCATTGCTTCAGCCGTTCAGGTCAGACATTTTTGCAGTCAGTTCTGAAGATTATGGTTTTCATACATCCACTAATGCAAGCAAAAGAGTTCTAACATTGCCTAGCAAGAAATTCTCAAAGAACCATTTAATCTAGAAGTTTAATATGTTAGGTGAGGTCCCTGAATAGTTTTTATTTCTTAACATGCACCCTCATACAAAAGCCTATTGGGCTTGAAGCATGGACAAACATAGGTTCATCTATACCTTATGCTGAAATTTAATTAATTATAATGGGGGCAATGAGAACCAAACAGTAGGACACTTGATCAAACAGGCTCTAATACCATCAAGAATCTGTTCAACCTAGAAGCTTAAGCTGTTTGGTGAGGTCCCTAAATATGTTTTTATTCTCTAACTAAAACAATTAAGGATAAGTTCAATAAGCTAATTGGTTACATTTTCTTTTTGTCTCTCTCAACGTGTGGCTAAGATATCAGTGAGGAAAGCTTTAGAACACTTCCAATTTCCAAGGTCGGGGTGCAAGTAGAGTGGGTTGGGCTGGGTTTATGGTCAACCCGGGCCTGACCCTAACATTTGGAATTAAGGGCCGAGCCTAAGGTCAAGCCTGATCTTCCCAACCCGATCCTACCCTGCATTGTAAATTGATGCACTCGGATTGGGCTCGCGCTCGGGTTGGTCAATGAACCCGTTCTAAAATTATATGTGTAAATGTATTTATATAAATATGTATATATACTTATCTATATATGTAAATATGTCTGTATATAGATAAATATATATATACAAGTGTGTGTATATATATATATATATGTATAAATGTGTATAGTTGGGCCAGACTCGGACTGGGTTCGAACTACCTAAGGTTTAAGTCTGGAGTCAGCCTGAAAAATAAAAAACCCGACTTCTTAGGTCCAAACCCAGCCCGAGAATTGAAAATCTAAACCCAACCCGTGTAAAATTTTAGACTGGGCCGGTTCAGGCTAGCCCGCCCAAATTGCACTCCTATTTGATACTTGAACACAATTCTCATGGTTGTAGTAGTTATTTGTTAATATGCCACCATTTGAGCAAGTATTTCATTCAAAAACCCTCCTTCAGGCTTTAGATCCGATGCTCTCATAAATTGTAGTCTTAATAAGCATGGCGTTTTTGCCAAAGTTATCATCTCAATAGGAATGAATACCCATATAAAAGCTATTTGTGATGCCCTAGATAAGACTTAAATTTTATTTCTTTTTAAATTTCATTTATTCTACAAAACGAAACAAGCCAAAAACTACATATAAATAGTATACTTCTCAATGTCAGTGGAATTACAGATGTGACGTACTGAAAAGAATGAAAAGATACTGGTCTTGGGGACTGGTTTGTTCTGAGTGAGTGAGGGACTCTTGATTTATGAAAGAGGAATCAGAGTGTAATGGTCAATGGAACAAAAACACCCTTATCTTGGGTTGAGATCATGCGCGCTTTTAATCGGTGATCCATTGAATTCATCCATGAACATGGCTTACGAATTGTAGCCACTCAGCTTTAATGCCACTTCTCCCATCCCATGCGTAGCCATCTCTTACCCAGCTTTTCGTTCTGCATTTTGTCTATTCTAATCACTATTTTTAATCTTTTCTAGGTTGTACGACCTAACCACAATTTTTCTTTTTGTCTCATGGAAACTAGAAGAAAAAGAAAAAACCTATTTTGAGTAAATTTGGAACTTTAATGGGGTGTCAAAGTAATGAAATTAATGTTTAAAATTATATTGGGTATATCATATCGTATCTTTTACCGATTCATGCGTTTATTTTAAGGTATTTTAAGAATATTTTTTAATAATTAAATAATATCAAAATGGCCCCCTCTGAAATTTTATAAATTACAATGCTCAAAGTATCGATACACCCCTTTTGACATATCAGCCGGGTTATATCAATATTTTGAACCATGTTTATTCTCTATACATAAGCTGAATCTTCCTATGGGGAGCAAGAAAATATCAGAATGTTCTAAGTCAATTCATCCCCCTTAATTAGAAAACCCATTTAGTGCAAGTGTATTGCTTATAGAAATTCCCTACAGAGCCTGCAATAATTGCAACTTGTTATTTCTTCATTCTTCATAGCTGGGCTTTAATTTCCATCTTCACATGTGCGGATGGTCTGGACCACTGGACAAAATAACTATTCTGGTCTTGTCATGTATCTAAATATGTAGGCTGTGTTTGGAAACGATACAACTAAGTGTGAATATAAATATGTAGAGTGTAAAATGGTTCATATAAATTATAAAGTTGGATTAGTTTTGTATTGAGAAATTTACCTTCTTACCAAATAAATTTTTAGATGTAATGGATACAAACACGAATTCTAATAAAGCATATACATTTTTTTATCAAAAACCCACTTGAATGCAAATTTACTTCTTTTTTTATTGATGTACTTTTACATCTTATTATCAATATAAATATGCATTGAAAAATGTGTTTTCTGCCATTTATCAATGCATAAATGTAATATTGTCAAATACAAGCAAAAACAAACCAAAGTACAAATTAATTACCCTAAACTCAAATTTACACTCTATTTGCATCATTTTCAAACGCAGACAGACGTAGTGATTATGGCATTAAGTACAATTATTAATACACACTTAAATGTTGGTGGCGTGGTGTTTGATCCATTTACTGTTTGAATTTTTGAACCAGAGCAATTAATCATTTATTCTGAGCATTATGGAGGAGCCTGGTTCCGTCTTCACTAAGTAACAACTACAAAGTATAAGATTATAAGAAAAAGAGGGAGCTGATGAGCAACAAGATGAGATCTGACTTTGGAGACAGAACATGTATTTGAAAAAAGTTTTAGGAGGAAGTCGTTATAGAGGAAGTGAATAATGCCCCTTTGTGGGCCTTTTCTTAATGAAAATTTGCCGACTTCTAACATCTGGTTTACTACTGATAGTGGCAAGAAAGATACCCAAGTTTCTAACAATTTCTTTGGGAAACATGGCACATTGGATTGCAATCTTTCACGTTTCACCCCAGGATTTGATATTGATAATAACAGGTCATGGCCCTACAGACAGAGGAACCATGAAAATGCTACTGTACGTCTTGTGGAAAATTTTCATTTCCCAAAAAGGTGCTGCAACTTGAGATGGTCAGAAATCAGCCCAAGGACATCTCTAGAAGGAATATATTTGGGTAGGGCTCATTAAGGTCTTATGGTTTAGCTCAGCTTTGGATTCCAAATCCAACTTAAACTCAATTTTAGACCATAAAATTTGATGTCATAATTAAATAATAATAATAATAATAATAATAATTAAAAAAATTAAAACACATAAAGGTATAAAATACAAGAAAAAATATAGAAAACATTTGGGCACATCTCTAATATAGTATACTCATCATACTAAACAAAAATAAGTGTAACAAGTAATAATCTTATAAACCTAAAAACATAAAAAATAAAAAATTTTAAAAACATATTATTTATTATACTTGTATACAAATAAGTGTCCATACTCCATAACTTACGAAATCCCAAATCTATAATACTGCTACAACTTTACCTCTTCAATCACTATATTATACTTAATCTTGTAGAGACAACGGAATGATAGATGAACTAGAAATAGAAAGACAACTGTGCCAGTCAATGTCAATTAATGGGAGAGGGAAGTTTTCCAGTTAGGGCTTAATTGGAATTAGTAGGCCATTTCAGTCCAGATTCGAAGGAAGCTTCCCATTTTGTTTTCTCTTGTTATTCATTCTTTAATATATTTTATTCATATATTTTTAAAATATCCGTAGAAATAAATATAAAATAAAATAAAAAGAAATACACACTGCGGTTAGAATCATTCATACAAAATTAGAATTTGGGAATTCATAAGAGGTTTTATAAATCAGATACCTCGCTTTTGTTACAAGGTCCATCTCATACGGTAGGACACTTGAAATAGAAATATTTTCTAAATGACAAAAGAAAACTATATCTTAATATAATAACGAGGTAATTAAAAACATTAAAATTATCTGTCAAAAAAAAAAAAACTAAACAACGAAATGGGTTGTCTGTGTAATTCCAAAGATTTAAATGTTGATTAAATCATTAATTTAATTCACCAAAACCCAATATCCATCTGCCTTCCTTCTTATCCATATGGTTATTCTTGGTGGGTCACATCTATAGTTTGGTAATTAACCTTTTGGTCATTTGCAAAATAACAATTATTTGGGGATATTTTGAGTATATTAAGATATATTAATAATGTAACAATGGTAGACAATGTATGATGCAGAGTAGTAATTTTGCCCTTTCTATTTGCTATTTTGCTTTGGTGACGTTTGGCATTAATGATGATTTCTCTTTGTCGATTTTTCAGTGATTTTTGAAAAATCATCAAAATTTATTATTTGATATCATTTATATCATGTAAGCTGATTTTTGAGAAATCATTATCTTTGAGTCTGTTTGGTACTGATTTTCAAGGGCCAATTATTTTTGTATTAAAGTTATTATTCAGTTCTATGCTGGATGCCATGTCATCCTCAAAATTGGAATCAGTTAAAAATTAGGAAATCACTAGAAAAGATGATCCCTGAAAAGGGTTGATTTCAATAATCGCTTCTTTGGCTGCTTTCCCAAAAATCGACATAATCGGAAAACCAATTCTGATGTGGATCCTACATGGCGCTGATTTCTGGAAAATCATCATCAATGCCATGCATCACCTTTAATAGATATTTTAAAGTTAATTATATAATTTTGCTAGAATATTTAAATAATTCTTAAATTTTTTAATTCAAACTTTCTTTAAATAGATATAGATAAAAAGTGAGAGATGATAAATAGGAATTAGAGATAATTTAGGAGAAAGTATGGGAGGTATTTTAGGAGAAGAGATTATTGGGAAAAGTATAGATAATTTAGGTTAGGAACTCTGAGAGAGAGAAAGAGAAAGAGAGAGAAATTTTAAGAAGATTTTTTTTGGGGAAAGTAGAGTTTCTAATTGGTAGTTTAAAAAATGATATGAATTAAAAAAAATTAAAAAAAAGGAGAAAATTTCCACTTCCTTGTTTTATATAGAACTTCAAATGCTGTGGGACACTCAGCTGTCTAGCTCTCCGTAGAATTAGAACAACCCACATTCTTGTTAAGCCTCATCCAATAAATTTGCAAACCCTATAAAAGCCCATCTCCACCCGGATTCTCTACTCTGCCCAGAACCTCTTCCGTAGATATGGCAAACTTTTCTCTTTCTCTCCTCTCGTTACTTCTCCTTCTGCCTCTTAGTGCCTACTCTGAACTCCAGGTTTTGTTCTTTATTTCTTTCGCCCGATTAATGCTATTCTTCAAGAAATCCACTCCACATCTCATCAAAATTCTTCATGGTTGCAGCCCTACGTAGTTTATCTTGGAGAGCACAGCGGAGAGAAAACAGTGCAAGAAATCCACGACACCCATCACTCGTTTCTTCTGTCTGTGAAGGAAACCGAGGAGGTTGCTCAAGCTTCCCTTATCTATAGTTACAAGAAGAGCATCAATGGCCTCGCTGCATTGCTTACACCAGAGGAGGCCGCCAAGTTATCAGGTATCAGAAAGAACTCTATTCTGTACTGGGTTGTTGTTCTTGTTCTCCTTGGTTAGCTTTTGTTCTGAATCTTCTGATTAATCTTACTTGGTTTTCAAACAGAGATGGAGGGAGTGGTGTCTGTGTTTCCGAGCCAGGCCAAGAAGTGGTATGTTCAGACTACAAGGTCTTGGGACTTTCTAGGCATTAAAGATAGACGAGATGGGGAGAGCAACTATGAGAGAGGAGGTCTAATGCATGAAGCCAAATATGGGCAAGATGTCATCGTCGGGCTCTTGGATTCTGGTAACCAAATAATAAAACAAAGAAGGGAGAAAAAGAAAGAAAGGAACCTTGTTTTCTTATGTCGAAGTGGTTAGGCTTATTGGCATATAATGAATACGTGTTTTGTGTTATACTGACCAGGTATATGGCCGGAGTCAACGAGTTTCAGTGATGAAGGCATGGGGCCCATACCCAAATCATGGAAGGGAATCTGCCAAGCTGGAGATGCTTTCAACTCCTCTCACTGTAACAGGTAAGATATTTCTTTATTGTTTTTTTTCTTTTCTTTTTAATGTTTTTAGTGTGTAAAAAGGTCAAAGATGCTTAGATCCCATCTAATGTTTGATATAGGAAGTATAAAACCCAAAAGACTATTTCCTCCCCTTGTTAGTTAGTTCTCCATTAATGGAGATGATTATCGATTCATCCTGCAATCAAGAAGGTAGTTAGTATCAACCAACCATGGGGCAACTTTTAATGGGTATAGCCTATCAAAAGATATGAACATTTGGTTATTTGTGTTCTAGCTATATTCAGTGTCATTTCAAGGAGCTCAAATATGTTCTGATCAAGGTATTATCAAAAATCTTGAGAGTTGAGACCACCCAATGGTGCAACCGAAACTATGGTTCTGTTTAAATTAAAAATTATCTAGTTTTCAGAATATTGAAAAAGGGTTTTGTTTTGTTATGCTTTTTTTTTAAGTAGCCGGGACCTTTGTTTATGGTTCTAGAACTAGAAATATAGGTTAGTGAACAGGTTTTTTTCAAACCACTTGAAAACAAAATTTTAAACAACTACAGTGCATCAAGTTCTTTCAGTTCACTGAACTGTTTGCAAGTTTGAAAAGCTATATTTCATTTAAGTGAGCTTCCACTTTAATTTCTCAAATTTTTTATCAAGCTCCTACTAAAGGATTAAATTTTGAAGGACTTAAGTCATATACTATAAGCAAGTGAGGGTATAAACAGATCTAATTTGAATAGATATTGAAAATCAATATTAGATTTTGATTTGATATCTGAAAGATATTGAAAAATCAATGTTTGAATTCAAATTTGATTAAATGTTTGAATATTTTATTTGATCTGAATTTGATCAATTAATTATTCTAAATATATAAATTATTTATATAATTTAAATATTACATATATATATATATATATATATTATATACAATAATTAAATAATCAATTGAATTAAGATTTTTATCGAACTGAATTAAGTCATATCCAAATCCGATTCAATTAGTTATTGTTGTTAACAGAATATCTAAATTATAATATTGAAATTATTCGAATTAGAATGGATTACTTCGAATCTCAAATTTAAAACCAGATTTTCGAATAGCACAAGTATACTGTTTTACCGACTTCATTTTGTATTGAATCTATATGAATCAAAGGTTTTTATGATTTCTATAACACCACGACATGGCATGTCGTTGACCTACCGCAGTTTGTTATTTATTGTTGAAATAATCATAAGTGTAGATCACATGTGTTGACAACGTCTGTCCAGGGTCAGATCATTTGGAGTTTCGGACTTTGGGGGGAGACCCGCCATCTGATGGATTGAGTTACCACTGTGGGTCTCATTGGATCTGGATGATCTCAACCATCCACCCATGGTTGAGACTTGAGAGTATAGATTTTCTGCTGAAGCAGCTTCGGCAGAAGATCAGTGAGAGAATGATATACAAAGATATGCACAAATAAACCGATAAGTCGGATCCGATCCAATCGGATTCCGAATTTAATCCGATAAGAGTTTGATTCAGAGACCTTTCTTGAATTTAGCAAATCGGATCAGTTAGGAAAAGTCGATCTCTATATATATATATATATATTACATGTGTATATTCTATATATATTTTATATAATTATATATTATTTGTTAGATTAAAATATAAAAACCTCTCCTAAAATTTCTGACAATCATAAAAACCTCTTCTATAATTTTATTTTAACAAATATCTCTCTTGAATTTTTCAGAAACACAACAAAAGCCTTCCTTTCATCAGTCCCAGATGGAAAATGGTTTTTTTTAAATATCCATTTTGCCCTTTTATAAATTATTTTACATACAAAATTACTGAAATAATCTCATTTTAACTCAACAAAAATATATATTTCAGTAATTTTGTATGTAAAATTATTGAGATGATCGTTAAAGGAGGTTTTTGTTGAATTGAAATAGAGTTATTTTAATAATTTTGTATATAAAATAATTTATAAAAGGGTAGAATGGGTATTTGAAAAAAACTGGTGTATCAAATCTAACGTTTTCCATCTAGGACTGTGATGAAAGGTAGGTTTTTGTTGAATTTTTTAAAAGTTTTGGAGAGACATTTGTTAAAATAAAACTAGAAGGAAGTTTTTTATTAATTGTCATAAATTTCAGGGGAGGTTTTTGTATTTTAGCCTGTTATGTATTAAGTATTATAATATATTATTATATTATTTATATAATATAATATATTATATAAATTTTTTTACTTATTCTAATTCGGATATGTAATAGATTCGGATAGACCTTTTACCAAATCCGATTCCATCTGTTTGTACTTTGCAACCCTACTAGAAAGAGTTAAAATCAGTCCCCCCACCCAACAAGATAATTTCCTACAACCTCCACGTTACATCCCGCCTTGTATCGAAAACATCTCCCGATGATACCTCATTAGGGATGTTGTGGGCAACTATCTTGTGGGGACTGATTTGAACTCTACTAGCTAGAAAACCCGCTGAGGAAATAATACGTAATACTTTGTGGTGGTATTTTGACAGGAAGCTAATAGGAGCTCGGTATTACCTCAAAGGCTACGAGGCATACTACGATGCCCCGCTGAACACCTCCACCGACTATCGGTCTCCTCGTGACAAAGATGGCCATGGGTCTCATACGTCCTCCATTGTTGGTGGCCGAGTCGTGGAAGGAGTCTCAGCTCTCGGCGGTTTCGCCCAAGGCACGGCGTCCGGCGGAGCCCCACTCGCACGTCTGGCCATGTACAAGGTGTGCTGGCCAGTTCCAGGCAGGGACCCTTCAGAAGGTAACATCTGCATGGACACCGACATGCTCGCTGCCATCGACGACGCCATCGGAGATGGTGTGGACGTGCTCAGCATCTCCATTGGAACGTTCTCACCTGTCAATTACACCGATGACGGGATTGCAATCGGTGCACTGCATGCTGTCAAACGGAACATCGTGGTTGCATGTAGCGCCGGGAACAACGGCCCTGGCCCGGGCACTTTGTCAAACATCGCACCCTGGATCATCACTGTAGGAGCTAGCAGCATCGATCGGGTCTTCCCCTCGCCTGTTGTATTAGGGAATAGCTTGACAGTCCAGGTAAGTCTATCGACATGAACCAATCAAGTTCTTCTACCTTGGCTTTCGTTTTCACTTTTCACAGTTGATTGGTTCAATTTCAGGGTCAATCAGTAGCTCCATACATGCTGGACGATAAGATGTACCCACTGGTTTACGCCGGAGATGCAGTAGTCCCAGGTGTAAACAACTCTGTCGCCGAGTACGTAATTGATTCTTCATTTCTCTGAGTTGAGTTGCACCAATGTGGTTTCATATCTTAGGGTCCGTTTGGCTTGCAGCTGGAATTGGAATTGAAATTGGCTATTGCCATCTGTTTGGTTCGGACAGGAATAGGAATGGAAATTAGAATAAGCAGGAATGAAATTTCATTTACAAGGGAGGGTCAAGGAATGCCCATTCTCTCAAATGGGGGAATACCATTCCAGAAGTAACGAGAATGGGGTTTCGGATCCGCTCAACCAAACAATTGGAATCGGAATGGGGTTTCGATTTCATATTCAGCTTATGATTTCTGTTTTTTCATTTACTTTTGGGTGCCATTCGGATCTGTTTTTATGGATTTTGCTCAACATGATTATTTGATTGAATTTAAATTTTACAGCCAATGTCTCCCCGGTTCTCTCTCGCCGGAGAAAGTGAAGGGGAAGATTGTGTTATGCCTAAGAAGACTTGGGACGAGAGTTGGGAAGGGTTTGGAAGTGAGAAGAGCTGGCGGTGCTGCCATCTTTCTCGGCAACAGCCGATTGAATGGAAACGAATTACCCATCGACAGCTACTTTCTTCCAGGAACAGCAGTAGCATTTGAAGATGCAACCAACATTCTTAGTTACATAAACTCCACCAAGAATCCAACTGCCAAAGTAGTTCCAGGAATGACTGTCATAAACGTTAAACCTGCGCCATCCATGGCCAGTTTCTCTTCAAGAGGTCCAAATGTTATCGAGCCCAATATACTGAAGGTAATTATCATAACTTCTGCAGCATAAGATTCAACTGGGATCAATCAACTTTGAGTTTTAGTTAAGTCGGTTTGTGGAATCTTCTGATCAATGTCTTCCTCCATCCTCATCAGCCCGATATCACTGCACCTGGAATTAATATTCTGGCATCGTGGAGCGAGAAGTCCTCCCCTACAAAGTTGCTTTCCGATCACCGGAGGGTCAAATACAATTTTGATTCCGGGACCTCCATGTCATGCCCTCACGTTGCAGGCATAGCAGCCCTACTCAAAGCCATCCACCCCAGTTGGAGCAGTGCTGCCATTAGATCAGCCATCATGACAACAGGTATATATGCTACGTACTGTACATTCAAAGAAACCAGAGATGATGATTTGGACTGGATTTTCTGCAAATATTTTGCCTCCATTTTCATTCATTTTTTTGGTTTTTGGTTGCAGCAAGAACAAGAAACAATATGGGTATGCCATTGACTGATGCAACAGGAGACACAGCTAACCCCTTCAGCTATGGATCTGGCCATCTCGACCCAACAAATGTAGCAGATCCCGGTCTGGTTTATGATGCCTCTTACACAGACTACCTCCTCTTCCTGTGCGGTAGCAGCGGACTGAAGGGCCTCGATTCTTCGTTCAAGTGCCCAAAGAAGTCGCCGTCGGCCAGCAACCTCAATTATCCATCCTTGTCAATCTCTAAGCTCAATGGCACCATGACTGTGAAGAGGACTGTGACAAACGTTGGTGACGGAGAGAGTGTGTATTTAGTGACAATTAGACCACCGGCGGGGGTCTCTGTCAAGATTGCTCCCAGAGTTCTGAACTTTAGCAGAGTTGGCGAGAAGAAGAGCTTCACAATAACTGTGAAAGCCAAAAAAGATAGTCAAGTAGATTGGAGAGGCACAGAAGAGAAGTTTGCTTTTGGCTCGTACACATGGACTGATGGGATCCATCACGTCAGAAGCCCCATGGCAGTATCTCTAGCATAATTCCCTCTTTTTTTTCTTTGTTGAATAGTTTTCGTTTAATAGATAGATAGATAGATAGATGACAGATTAAAGAGGGTAGATAGTGAGGAATGCTGTAATTTGTCTCTCTCGGAAACTATAGATACAAATTAATTAGTTATGGTCACAACTCACAAGGAGTACCTTGATTCAAAATTGGTTCTCTCATATTTAGAATTGAATCGAATCATATCCATTTGTTGGAGCAACGGAAGTGTGGTGGTAAAAATCACTTAGTAGAAGAGAAAAGAAATATAGAATGAAGAGAAGAAGAGAAGAAGAGAAGAAGATGAAAAGCCCATTAGAGTTATGGGTTTCACTTAGTTCTTAGCTTCTTGAGCTTTGTTACAAAATGTTTAGATTACAAGATATGTAAAGGAGATTTACTTTTACACTCTAGACCTTTCAGCTTCCAACTCCCAAGGCAACCCACTTAATACAAAAGACAAAATGTAAAAGAAAATTACAAAATTATCACTCTTACTTTTCAACACCCCCTCTTAATTTGTAATTTTCATTAAAGATCTAAAATGCAGAAATTTTTCAGAAGCTAGGGGCTTGGTGAAGACATCAGCAAATTGATCTTCAGTCTTGATGAACTTCAATTCAATCTCTCCTTTCTCAGTTGACTCTCTGATGAAATGTGTCTCAGCTTAATGTGCTTTGTTCTTCCATGGAAAACTGGATTTTTTGTGATTAAATAGCTGAAGTATTGTCACACTACAAGAAAAATGACTTAGTTTTTACCGGCAGTCGGCAAACTGCCGCTAAAAGATCTGTTGCTAAAATGTTCTAACGGCAGTTATAACGGCTGCCTCGGTATAAATGCTCAACTGCCGCTAATTCTAATTCGACTGCCGCTAAAAGTATATTTTTGGCAGCAGTCTTGAGCTTCTTTAGTGGCAGTCGCAACTGCTGCTAAAAGTATATTTTTTTCTCAAATAACCAATTTTTTTTTCTAATTTTTTCAAACTACTTGTTTTTTCTATATTCATTTATACCAAAATAAAATACAAAAAATAAAAAAATCAATTACAAGATAGTTTGATCAAGATCAGAATTCACCCCAAAAATTTTTCATTAATAAATATGAAAAATAATTTATTGATTGATGTTTGTATTGGGAGCATATACAGGGAATTTATTTTTTGAGCGGATGCTCCATCTTCGTGACTTCCCCACTTTGATTTGATTTGGTTTCAAGGGAAGATTTCTGTCATAGCAATATGACCAACTTAAAGGTCCTGTGTCTGAGACCTCTTTCTAGGAACCCGCTCTAGGGGTTCCTCTGTTACCAGGCAAAAACCATGGCTCGCTCTCTGACATTGATGATATAAGTATCTTCTTATTCCGTTCTGATCTGATGATTTTAGCATCTGCAAGCTCCTCAGCTGCATCAGTCATTACATCAAGTATAGGATACGTTGACTAACATCCACATTAGGAGAGGATAATAGTTTGTTGAGGACATCCACAGATTCAAATGGACATGTGACAAGCAATGCAACTAGTGCTCTTTACCTCTTTATTTCAGCTTATTCTTCCTCCCCTTTGAGGGTCAAATCAGAGCAACGGACCTGTGCAAGAGCTCTCACAAGATCACCAAACACATGCTGGAGTTCATCAGGTGATGCTTTTACAAGTTTTTTAGCAACATCGAGTGCTCTTTCCACCTGATAGAATAAGAAACAAATAAATAATCAGGAAGGATTCCTTTATCACCTATTCACATTAGTCCTGTCATAATAGTCCAGATTAATCACTTGATAAGAGAAAACCAGAGAGAAAAGAGAAGAAATGAGAGCAAAAATGAAGTTCAATGGGTGGAGAAAAACCAGATAGCTTCTTATTTTTACGCTTCATTTTGGTATTTATTCTGGCGTCAGCATTGTCTACTTCCTTGTTTGACCCAGTAATGGAAGATATTTTCACATCACCATGAATCTCTTTTTTGCCATTCAAACTGGATGAAATCCCCCTGGATTGGGTAGAAAACCCAAATTCCCAGTCAATAGTCTCTCCATTGAAACTATCATCAAGGTAAAGAGGATTTTTTGGGTCAACCACTTTAGAGAACACCAATGCCACAGAGCTAGCCATTCTCCTTACTAAATGCATAGGACTCTCCAGCCTACCTGCCAGAAGTTAGGATAAGATAACGAGTAAAACAACAATTGCTCGAGCGGTAAAATGCTGTACCAGATACAGAAAGAAAAGAACCCTACAGCTTACTGAACCTTTCCTCAAGGAGCAACAAAATTTGGAAAGCATGAAATGTTATGAAAAATAAAGCATAGTCTCAAATATCATTATCCTCTAGAAATTTGAGTGATTCCAAAGGCTCAACTTTTCCTCTTTTTTTGCTTTTTGTTTTTGTAGGACTTTATGGAAATTAACTAAAGAGTACAAGTGAAACATAGATTGTAAATATGAAGAAATAAATAGTTTATTCCTTAGACCATTAATATCATTAGCTCATGAAACTATTTTACAGATGAATAGAGATTACATTTGTTGTCAGATATAATACGATCTCTCATGAGAAATCAAAAGTTATATTATTCATTTTCCATGCTAGATATGTCTCTGAAGAAAACAGCACATTGGAAGAAAAGAATGGGAAAGGATACAAGTTTGTTGCTCCATTGGAGATGATTGAACAAACTCACATTCTGGAATAGATCAGTTGTATATGTTACTGCCAATTTTGGGAACTTAGTTCTTTTCATTTCAATATCAATTAGAGGTATCCATCCAGTGTTTTTATTTTGAAATATATGTATTTGTTGATGTTCTAGAGGAACACCACAAATGCCTCATGATCCAGAATGAGGAACAGCTGGGTTTACAAAATATGAACTACATTTTCTGGGATTTAAGCAGGAAAGAAGTACCTGAAAGAACCTCCGCTCCTCCAGCCATTGCTTAATGGGCATGACTTTGTCATTATCATCTTTCCACTCGTTAGGCACCACAGCTTCAACTCGATTAGCTGAAACTTTAATTCTTGCTAGTTCCCTCTCTAGTGTCCTTTTCTCCTCCCGGAAAATCATAGGACAAGGGAGTAGCTCAACTCAGAATTTTGCACCCAAACAAAAGCTTCAAATATCACTGACCTATGAACACTTACTGAACTAAAGTAGTTAAAGTACCACTCACTAACAGGCCGGCTCTTACATTTAATTCAGAAAGCCTGAAAGTGAAGTCAACCCAGGACTCCAGGAGTCAGGTAGTGGACTCAGGAAGTCATGTCCCAAATGCCATTTAATTTATAAATATGTGGAAAATTTTAAAAAGCATAAAATTTGAAAATTTGAAAATGAATCACTATCACTTTTCTTTTGTTAAATTTAAGTGATATCTTGATCATCATAAGAAAATTCAAATCATTAACCTTTGTTAGTATACAAAAATATCAATCAATGGACAAGGCTATAATCAAGCATGATTTGGGAATCAAATCTATCAATTCTTTTCTATTGACTTCACCATTAAAAAATCCTAGAAAGTCTAAAGATTTTAGGGATTTTTAGATTGTACTCCACCTCAAAATTCTGATTTGAACTGCAGACCTACAACAATTCAAATTTATAAACACCTCCACCTATAACATCCATACCCGCCCGTGAATTGACATCAATTCTGAGCTGGCACCTACCTCCAACTGTACGGTGGAGCTAGGATTTGAGGGGGAAAGGACTGTTAGGGGGAATGAGTTATGATAAACCATCTCATCATGGATGGAAGTACATATATACATACATAATATATATTCAACTCTGCCAAGTTTGTATTATTTGAATTATGGTGTCTATATGCATCCCTGCTTAACTTCAAATTCAATTATGGGATTATACTGTCTCTGTTTTTATTTTTTGGCAAATTATGCTCTGTTATAAAGACATAATGCTGAATTAAGTTTCCTCTGTTCTAAGGTATGAGAAACGAATCCTCTGTTATGAAGACATATATACATACATCAGCTACCTTCCATATATCCAGTCACGAGTGTCAGTGAAAGAGGTGTCTCAAATAGATTAAGTGAGGTGTGAGGCTATCACCCACAATGTACAACTGCAGTGTAAACCCAATGTTTAAGTATAACATAATTAATTATCTAAAATTATTTGAATCTGGAGGATGATATTTATGCTTCTGGTTTTCAAATTAATTATGAAGGAAACCTAATTGAATTCATATGTGTATTGTATTGTTAATTAATTGGCTAAAATCCATCTATTAATTAGTTGGGGAATGAACTGTTTAGTGTGTCATAATGCAAAGAATAGAAATATCCATCAACGAACCAATGATTCAATCCTAATCTTAAATTGCCAAGATAGCTACTAAATAGGTTAACCAGAATTTTTTGGAAAATAAACTTTAAAGAATAATGTGATTATGATTATTCACTTGTCTTTTATTAGGACTATGGCATATGGTAGAATACAACGAATTGGACCAAAAGCTATTAAACTCAAACAATAATCCAATTCTGATAAGGAACTATTGCTTTTTCAAAACAATAATATTCCTTGATTAATACAACTGCATGCAGTCCTCTCTCTCTCTCTCTCTCTACATCTCCATGCAAATGATTTGGTTGGTTTGATTATTATATTAGACATTCAGTGATTCCATCAACACTATGATGATTGGTTTAATTCAAAATATATTTGTCTTTTATGCATTTCTTTAGAGCAGAAACCAAATCTTTTCTAAAGTAAAATAAGGTGGCTAGCATACTCTAAGTTCACAATAGATCCCAAAGTTCATGTATATACTTGTTTTCCCCAACTCCAAGTATCATAAAAGCAAATATAATTGAAAGCTCAACCAATCCTACTTTAACTTCCTTAACAATCCAGCTCACAATCCAGCAACCAACCGAACACATTAACTTCCTTACAAATCCTACATGTCCAATCAAGGTTTTAAAAATGATCTGGAAACAGAATTGCTTTGGTCTCTATTTTTTGGGTCCTGTTCAACCATTCAGGTATATATCCGATCAAATGCATTTTTCAGTTGAAATTTTATGTTTAGGATTAGGGTTTAAAAGTTTAGGGGCTTAGGGGGTTTTAGGGTTCAGAGTTTAAGAATTTTACATAAAAATGAAGATATTTTGTCCGATCATGAAAGGAGTAAATATGTGCTAAAGATCATTTACATACTTGCAAAAGCACCAAACAATAGACACTCAAGATCAGCTGAATAAGTTCTAGAAGAATGTTCAATAAATACATAGAGGGAAAGAGAGAATCTCACCTGTTAATGTCGATATCTGGTCGTCTATCTGGTGGTGAGAAAGCCAATATCAAGGTTTCCCTCTGGTTGTTGTCCGATTGTGAGAAAATCTGGACCGCGGTTGTTCATCGGTTGTGAGAAAGTTGAGATCGACATCACCCTCTACCATCGTCCGGTTGTGAGAAACTTAGACCGAGGTCGTTCTCCAGTAGTGAGAAAGTATAGAGAGAAAGAGAGAGAGCCCTCTGGTTGCCGTCCGGTTGTGAGAAACTACAGACCGAGGTAGTTCTTCGGTTGTGAGAAAGTAGAGAGAGAGCAGGCGAGTGAGCGAGCGAGACAGAGCGAGTGCGAGAGAGAGATGACAGAATCGACTGGGAGAGGATAGGGCGGGAAGAAGACGAATCGTGAAGAGGGAGAGGCGCGGAGTGTGTGATTCATATGGGGCAATCGACTGTCGCTAAACATCAATATTTCTAGCGGCAGTCACAAAATAGCCGGTTCGAAAACTGCCGCTAGAAATATAATTTTGTGTAATAACAGTAGATTTAGATTGTAGTTGGGCCATCATGCACAAATTGAAGGTCATTCAATAGTCTTCTAAGCCAAATTGCTTTACAAGATGTACTAGTGGCTGAAATGCATTCTGCTTCAACTCAAGAAAGTGCCATAGTATTTTGCTTCCTCGATGGCGAAGAGATCATTTTACTTCCCAAAGAGAAAACATATCCTGTTGTGCTTTCTCGGTCATCTTGAAACGATGTGAGCCTTGTGTTGGTGAGATAAATCAAGGAACCAACAAGGTTTTTGTAGATTAATGCATCTACCAATTCTTCTCCATCCTACTTTGACAGCTTTTCATTGACAACCATAGGGGTAGCTAGGGGTTTACATGTTGACATATGAAACTGATGGTGCGCGATCCGGTCACTCCTATTTGGTTGCTGACGGGCTCCCTGTTGGCAACGGACGGCATTTGAGAAGATGGAAAAGAAGGATTCCCGGGGATTAGCTCGCGAGCAAAGAAGAGTGTGAAAGCTAAGAGTGTAGGTCGCGTTTTATCACTGTACTTGAGAGATTAGCTCGCGAGCAAATATATATTCGGTTTTAAAGTATGAGAGTGCGGAAGTATTCAAAAGTCTGAAGATCCTCTTCTCTTCTGCCTCGAGGACTTTTATAGGGGCGTTCTTGTCAAATCGGGCGTAACCGCCATTGGGCCCCTACCACAGCCATTACCTGCAAAGGCTGTGTAGGTGGCCGTTGCAACGTACTCCTTGCTCGGATAGGTGACACGTCTTCGAAGGACAGGCACGCCTTCGCCTGCTGAGAGACGTGGGTGCAGACTGTCAATAGGACAAGGACTGCGTCGTCAGTCAAGGGACGTAGCGCAGTTTGATTGGTACGGTCTGTCAGATAGAAGCTTCCTGAGAAATGTTCACGCTGCTCACTTGTGAGCTACTTTGTAGCGAGCTTAGGAATACTTCGGGGTTACCCTTATTAGAATTGGTCCCTGGGATGACTTATCTACTTGGGGGCTTGAGCGAGCTAGTTTCCCTACCTCGCAAGCTAAAGTAGCCTCAGAATATCCCCTTTGGGGTAGCTCGAGGAACTCGGAGCTCGCGTTGTAGCAAGCTATGACATAGCGAGCTGCCTTATAGGCTCGTTACTTAGTCGTTGCCAGGCTATGATGCTGAGTTGTTACCCGTGCTAAGTCAGGTCCACGTGTCATCGCTTCATAGGTCGGGCCAAATCATCCTCCAACAATTGCCCCCCACTCCTTGAACTGAGAGCGTTGCCTTAGCGCAGGGAGTTCATGAAGTATGATGGACTAATTTGACCGAAATTCAAACTTGATTGACTACTCACATTAAATGTGTTCGCGGGAATCAAGAGATTTTCTGACTTTTCGAATTCCGAAAACATGTTGAAGTGGCTCTTAACTCCAGATGTCGTGCAGCCGTCATTACCTCAATCATGGGAGACGTGCAGCCAATCGCTTTTCAGTTTTCAGAAGGTGTGCGGTCAGTACACCTGCGAACCGTCGGATCTGCGTCATTTTCCCTCACGCCATCTTGTTGTCTTCGGATTCTGAGGTCGTGCATCTGTCAAATCTACTCGAGTTCCTTAGTTCACTTCGTCCCATCCCTTTCGGTGAGTCTCGATTACTATCAGTCATGTCTGGGAACCCGTACCATCCTCGTCATCGGGGCGGTGACCAGGATGATGATGCTCCCTCGAGCTCAAGAGCCTTCACTTCCCAAGGAAGGGAGCCTGATAATTTCAGCCCTTCCTCCGGTGACAAAGGGGAGACTTAGGTCTCTAATTAGCTATTTCCACCTTCCCAGGGACCTCATCTACTGCCTTCCCACCGGTAATGTTCCGTGGGAGCATGGTCCCAATGAGATAGTCATCTACCAAGAGCAGCTCGAGGCTGGCCTGCGTCTCCCCCCTGCACCCCTTGATAGTGGAGGTGCATAACCACTTTAACGTCACTATCGATCAGCTTCATCCCAACAACATTCGGAACATGGTTGAGACTATATCCTTGTGTTGTGAATACTGTCTTCCTTTGAATCTCAACATTTTTTCTGCTACCCTATGTATAAAGAATGCCACTCCCGGGGCTCCACTGAAGAGACGTCTCTACTACTTCTCTCCCCGTCGTGGCTACAAGCTCTTATACGAGCTTCCGAATAAAATTCCTACTTGGAAGCGGGATTATTTTTTGGTCCGCAGCCCTGAAGGGTGGCCCTTCCCTACTTCATGGAGGGGCGCCATCCAGGACTACGGGGTTGAGCTGGACCCTGATACTCAAAAAACGATGTTGTCCTGGGCATCAGTAGGCTTCCTCTGTTCGAACTACTTGACCGAGGAGAAGCTTGTGCAGGCCGGCCTGAGCCCGGGTAGGTTGCCTTTTTAGGTCGCGTAGTACCTTGTCATAACATTGTGTACATATATATACTTTGTTCTTACTGAACTAACACTTTGTGATTTCTTCTTGGCAGCCATCATGTCTGGTATCGACTCGCGTCGCCTCCTTTCAAGCAACCAGAGGCTAGAGTGAAGAGGTCGCGCCCCGACCGGACCCCCACCTCAGGGGGCACCGAGTTTGGGTCTGCCGAGCCAGTCTTATCCTCTCCACCACCCGAAATCCCACAGCCTGAAATTTTGCCGCCTCCGTCCGAAGGGGGAGCTAGCGGAGCTGGCCCTGAAGAGGGCGAGTCCCACAGCAAGGGGTGATTCCCCCTAGTCCTTTCCAGCCATTACCTTATCCACGGTTCCCAGTGGGGAACTGGGAAGGGGTGAACAATTACCTTGTGGCTTGACGGAAGAGCCGGAGGGCGATCTGTAACGAGGAGGTCGCTAAGTGGGGAGAGATGGAGCCTGAGGATCTCACCGTGTTTGCCTCTTCTCACTGCATGGTGGTAAGTGATACTTTCATTTCTTCTCTCGTTTTGCTTCCTTTTGCTACCCTCTGATCTTTTTTGCTGGCAGATGAATACAACCATCCATGCTATGACCCTCCAGACGTGCATCCACCGCGGCGACGCCATCGACCAAAGGGCTGTCAATCAGAAGCTCCAGGGCGAGCTCGACCAGACTCGGGGCGAGCTCATCACACTCGCAAGGGGAGTGAATCTCAGGAGCTGCTCGTCCACGACCAGGAGGCACAGATCACCAGGCTTTCTGAAGAGAGTGCACGCTATAGGGAGGAGTCATCGAGGGTAGCAGCGGAGAGGGAGCTCCTCCGGCAGCAGGTGCGGGACTTGGAGTCCACTCTTCTGGATCGGACTCGTAATTTCGACCAGATGGTAGAGGCTGAGCGAGAGAAGGCAGTCTGGGATTTCAAGGACTCCCAGGAATATCATGACCTCTAGGTAGAATATGGCTCGAGTTCGTACCGCTCTAGGTTTAAGCTCTGCCGATGGTTGGTCCGGAAGAAATTCTCCGGGCTCAACCTTGATGGCATCACTATGAAGGGCCTGTCTTCCGAGACGGCGAACCAGGCGGAGGAATAGGAGCCTGACTCTTTGGAGGACGAGGACGAGGAGGCGGATCCCTGAGGCTTTGGTGGCGTTTGTCTGGACTTCTGGTGGCTTCTGGGTGCCATAAACCCGGTCTTGAAAAGATCTTTTGTTGGGCGGTTGTGCCCTTTCACCTTCTATCAGACTTTCCCGAGCTGTTTAGCTCGGTTATTACTTTGTCATTTGCTATTTTTCTTTCTTCTTTTTTTTTGGAACAGTAATGAATTTTCCTTTTTGCCAAAATGATCTCATCGTTTCAAATTACTTAAAGCTACTTACTCGAAGTAGGACTCTTCGAAAATTGTTGTCTCGAGCCGTCTTTTGATGTTTTAAGGCATCCCCATGGTGCCACGCATACCCGAGCTATGTGTTTTTCAGTTGTTCCTTAGTTTAACCAACGCGCTGAGACGAGCCGTGCTTCGTAGGATTTGAACCCAAACTGCTTACGCCTCTGCCATTTCGCACTTTGCTTATACCACCGAAGTGGCCAAGTCTTTCTTGATGTCGAGTTTTTGATTAGCTCGGCGCCTTAGCACTTAGGCTGAGGGGGTGGCTTGCGGTCTGTCCTTGAAGTTTACCCATGCCGCAGAGGTGACTGGGTCTTATTGCGCCGAGATAATGTTAGCTCGGCATTTTGGCCCTTAGGCTCTGGGAGTGACTCATGGTCTACTCAGTTGTTACATGTAATATTGTCTTAAGTTGACGATATTCCATGCCCGAGGTACTTGTTTCCCTTCGAGAGTCTCGAGCTCATATGTTCTTTCCCCAAAAACTCGTTTCACTCGGTAAGGCCCTTTCCAATTCGGTCCGAGCTTGTCAATGCCAGGTTCAGGTACCATAACTTTCCGAAGGACCAGGTCGCCAACATGGAGGTTCCGCTTCTTGACCCTAGCGTTATAGTACCGGGCTACTCTTTGTTGGTAGGCTGCAGTCCTGATATATGTGAGATCTCTTACTTTGTCGAGTAGGTCGAGGTTGGTACGTAGCTCATTTTCATTGGCCTTGTCGTCGTAAGCTTTCAGTCGTAACGAGGGAATCTCAATCTCAATTGGGATGACTGCTTCGGTGCCATAGGTGAGGTTGAAGTGAGTTTCTCCTGTGGAGGTCTTTTCTGTAGTTCGGTAGGCCCATAAAATGCTGGGTAGTTCGTCTGCCCACAGTCCTTTAGCGCGATCTAAGCGTGCTTTCAGTCCGCGAAGAATAGCTCTGTTCGTAACCTCTGCTTGACCGTTCACTTGAGGGTGTGCAACCGAAGTGAAATTCTGTCGTATCCCCATATCTTGGCACCAGTTCTGGAATTTTATGTCCTCGAACTACTTGCCATTGTTAGATATTAGCACCCGAGGTAACCCGAAGCGGCACACAATGTTCTTCTAAAAGAAATTTTGGATGTTCCGGGTTGTGATTGTTATGAGAGGTTCAACTTCTACCCACTTGGTGAAGTAA